ATATATATTAGTTTTTTTTTGTTTATGTTCATGATTAAGTGAAGATGAAAGTGTAGTAAGATCCATGAGACAGGAGGTGGTGGTTGTGCTGATCTACAGCAGGATGAGTTTATAGCTCACCACTGGCAGCTTTCTTACTTTTAATGGAATTAGCTTCATTGAGCAGAGGCGTGTGCTTCAGCTTTCTGTTCTTTTTTTTTCTAACTTTAGCTGCAGCAGCTGATGCAGGCACTATTCTGTGGTTGATTAGTTAGGGATACATTTATTCCTTTGGAAAAACTGGACCAAACTCAGCTAATTAAGATTTATTCCCAATAAATGAAGTGATTTAGGTGTCATCCGTGTATCATTTTGTTCTTATTCAGGTGGACCTCGGCTCTCCATCGTTTCCACCTCGTCTCTTGGACACCATTGCCAGGAGACAGGCCGCTGTCATCGCTGATCTTGACGTCTTCGTCTCGTCATAAATCTACAGGATATATGAATGAAAGCACATTAGCAGTGAGCACTTAGACCGAACTTTCTGTTTTTACTACTTGCACCTAAATCTTATATACTTGACTTTTTTTAAGGGCACTGTTGTGTTTGTATCCAAACAAAAAAAGTTGTAGCAGCTTTTTTTTTTCTATAAATCTATTTTTAATAAGTAAATATTTATATATTTATATTTGTATATGAATGCTTTTAACAATCTGTTTTTACCAAAGATTCATTAAAAGGTTTTAGCTGCAGATTTAGCATATTTAATTTAGGTTTGGACCACTTTACATTTAATTTACCAGCCTGTAGCTAAAAACAAACCTAAAGTTTTGTTCGATTGCTTCACACAGATTTTATGTACAATGACTACTTCCTGCCGCCTTTTTTTATTTTACTTTCATATTCACCCACACATTCTAATAGTTTCACATGTGAATGCAAGATAAAAAACAATATCTAGAAACAGATATTCTCAAACTGCCGTTAGGTTCAGCACCTACCCCGTTTGTTTTTCTTCAAGCACAGCATATTTTCCCATGAACAGCTTTTATTTCAGAAATAAATAGTGCTCTCGTGCCTTGTTGTAGCAAAACATGATAAAAGAAAGGCTTTTTGTTAGAAAGTACAGAAAGAAGAAACAGCATCAATCATCTGAGGTTTTAAGGACCTGTATGTCCCCGTGTTCCATATGTTTTTATTTATTTCCATTTTAAAATATTGTTGAATGTGTTTCTAGTTTTATTGTGATTTTTTTTTGTACCAATACATAATAAAAGCCTGGCATGTACCAGGTATGTACCTGGTACTTGCTGAATTTTACCTGGTTCTCTCCAAGTACATACCTGGTACTTATTAGGAATTTACCTGTTATTTACCAGGTACATACCACTTGATACAGTATGTATCAGGTACATACCTTGTACTTAAACAAGTTTGTACCTGGTATTTATGAAGTGCGTTGCTGATACTTATTACGAGTGTACCTGGTATTTCCCTTGTACTTACCAGGTACACACCTGGTACTTACTAGGTTTTTACTGAGTAGTTCTTACCAGGTAAGTTCAAGGTACAATCTCTACACATGAGTTCTTACCTGTTATGAAGACACTGGTATGAGCCTAGTACTTACCTATTACTCTTTGAGGCTGTATTTGTACATACTTGATATTTACCTAGTACTCTTCAGATATGTACCTGGTTTTTACTGGTAATGTACCTGGTGTTCACCAGGTGCACATGTAGTGTGTATGTGCCTGGTACATACAGGTACTTTATTGGTACTAATTGGGTATTTATCAGGTACTTACAGATGATATATTTACGTGGAAAAAAGTGCTGGTTTGGTAGCAGATACGTACAAAGTATGTACACCGTAAGTACCAGGCATGCACCCTGAAAGTACTATGTACATACCCAGTAGGTAGAGAGTAACAAGTTACTTCTTATCTTCCTAAAAAGCCTGCATGTTTTGTAAGTATCCCTGTGGGTCACCTGGCACATGCAGTACTTAAGTACCTGGTAAGTAGCCTACTGTGTTTGTTTCAGGTAAGTACCAGGCTTTATTATGTATTGCTACCTTTGTTTAATGAGCAACGCATGATGCTGTTTTCAGTTGCTTGCACTAAATTTTTTCTCTGTTCTTTGGTAATGTTCCAGATTAAAAAAAACACGTTTTTGTTCATGTTTTAAACAGATTCAGAAGCTGATCAGTTGTCTCCACCTGATCACCTGGATCTTAAGAAGTCTTGTTATTAACACTAGCTGATGGCTCAGGACGCTTTCTGTTTCAGAGCAACTAAAAGTCGAGCAGCGTGAAGGAACAGAAAGAAGTTTTTGTACTAAAATATTTTTATACTCATTTTCAGTTTTTTTTCTTTATGTAAAAAGTTCAGGTAATGTGCTGTAGGTTACAGGTTATTTGTTACAATGCTTCCTGTGGCTTATCTGTCATTTTCTGCTACGTTTAAATTGAAAAATAAAAACATTTGTACGCATAATTTTGGTTTTGAATGGAAAGTCTTTGTTTCAACGTTATAAACATGTCAATTAGAACATTTCCTTTGAGACAGGTTTTATTTTTTACTTTAAATAGTTCAGGTTCTCTGTAACCCAACCCAGAGGTTCCCAAAGTTGGGGTCGGGACCCAAAGTGGGGTCCCGAAACATCAAGGTGGGGTCCTGAAAAGATTTTCTGAATTAATMACATTTTTGCCTTAGTTACAAAGGAG